TGGCTCTCTTTAAAATCCGTCTCTTATGCCACCACAGCCCTACTTCAAGGCTAGCCCCACAAATAAGGCTGTAGAGGCTCTCTTTTACAATCTGTCTCATTTGTTGCCACCACAGCCCTACTGCAAGGCCAGCCTCACAAATAGGGCTGTAGTGGCTTTCTTTTACAATCTGTCTCTTATTTCGCGACAGATAAGAGACATATTGTAAAAGAGAGCCACATTAGCCCTATTTGTGGGGCTCCCTTGGGCCTACACTACTTTGGGTAGATGGGTTGCGTGAGGCCAAAAGAATTCATAGATATATAGGCCTAGGCTATAGTAGGCTATTGAAAATCATTACTCAGTCTTGCTGCTCACCAGTGTAGACGAATCCATCGTTTTCCACAACATCCTCGATGTGGTCACCTGGAAACAGCAAACTTCCTCCTGACGATTTTCGTATCTCCAACACGCTATCTTGCTCTTCTTGGTCGTAATCCTTGAGGGTACGATAACGGGCCAAGGCTTGCTTCCCTAACCAATCTACCGTAAGTTTGGATGATTTCGCTGGCACAAGCAGCCATTCATTACGTACTCGGACGTTCACCCTCATGATCTTGCCCACCAGCACAAAATGAAAAATGATTGGGTTAAGTCGTCAGTGTATCACTGCGATTTTTCAGCCCGAAAAGTTCGTCCCTATGACGGATTCGTAGCTTATATAATGTACGCCTTATGCCTTCTGTGACGCAGTGAGTGTGTTTTTAATTATGCATTTGTCCATTCCCGATTCCACGTAAGTTGGCACAAAGATGGCGGTGCAGAGAAGGCCCAATGACCTTGCATACCAATACATGTAGCCTAGCCAGTGTGATCAAAACTCTTTTTATTTGGAAACAATCGCGCGGGAAAGAACTGCACCAAACCGGCCGTTTGCACGTGCTAGATTTTGCTGGCTACGCCGTACGTCACAAGGTTTGTTGTTGTGGTTATGTGGGTGTGGAATGGGCGAAACTACTTTGCCGGTTCTGATTGGTTTATGTCGACACGCACAACGGATGATATGAATATGCAATATTGTAGCTAAACTATTTTCCAGTCCACAGTTTGCGCTGGCGCGAACCTAGACTTGTTCACAAGACGTTAAACTTTCGCATTTCGATCTGCTTGAAGAAATTGGTTGTGGTAGCCAAATTTCTCGAGCCCAAATCGTTAATTTTCGGGTAGTGCGTCGTCAATTATCGATTAGTATTGCGTGTATATCAAGTGCTCCTCCTTGCCCAATAGCAAATTTCCAGAAATGGCTCCAATATGTATTTTTTGCAAATTGATCTCAAGTATTGAACTAGTCTGGTTCCCTGCCAAAAGATTCCCTGACGACTCTTGAATGTTAATCGACACAGTAGTCGGAGATTCTTGGTTTGGGAACCAGACTAATATTGAATATATGTGCACGTTGCGTCTTAGCCTTTGATCAAGGCGCCCGCGGCGAAACGGATAGTCGCTCAAGGGCGAGAACTAGAAGCTGGAGGAGACTTGTTTAAACACCAAATAAGCGCACGAACAAAGACTACACGACATCCCGCACCGCCCCGAAGGGTGCACTTTTTTTTTCAGGCCAGAAATATGTCTGCCGAGCTCAAAATATTCTATATTAGAGGGTCCTGAGAAGCATGGAACTGGGGGATTGAAGAAATATGGCACTGAACCTCTGGCCGGACTCAGGGCTTCCAATTCTGAGCAATTTGGATGCAATCGGGTTTGAAAGTAGCACTATTTGAGCCATTTTGCCGGGGGAGGGTTTTTCAAAATGGCTACTTTTCTGCACAGGGACATTTTCTGCATTTTAAGGGTGGTCTGCTTCTGGTGAAAATTTCTCAAAAATTCATCGGTCAACCCCCCCGAAAATTGAAAGGAAAATGAAAGAGGACATGTGGAACATCATTTTTCTGTGCAGCCTGAACAACTGTGAGAGTTGTGAGTATTTTTAAAATATTTGTGAAGTATGGGGATTTATCGCTGCTGTCTATGGGAATTTGTTTTTAGTGGTGCACACCCAAGGCTTATGAAGAGCGCCGCCTTGTCCGAGACTTTCCGTTTTGAACAGCGCCACCATTAAAGACGGCGAGTGCTCCTGCCCTCCCAGCCTATTTCTTGTAATTCTGAGGCCTACTCGAATGGACTCTAATCAAAATCAAATCTAAATAATTTTACGCGCAGTTTAGACAGTTAACAGGTCTCCTTTAAAGCGATCTTTCTGATCATTTTATTACGCACTCATTTGAAAACGGTTATGCTTCACAATTAATACCAGACGCAGTGTGTATGTACTACAAACACATTGCACGAGAGTATAGGTAATACCATAAATCAACAAGCCTTTTGTAGAACTACTGTTCCATTGCTAAATGGTCTAAAGTTGTCAAAGAAGAAAAGCCTGATTTGAAATTTTCCAACTTTGTTTGTAAAGCGCTGTGCTCTTAGTAGAGCCCTCACCAAAAGCTTATTATTATTATTATTAAATTCAATTTATATAGCGCTCATTTCATTAAAAATGTTCAGGAGTGCTTAACAATATTTTTAAAAATACCTATTAGAACAACTATTTACAAAAATGTACCGAAAAGAATTAAAATAAACACAATTTAACATTGATTTAAAAGTTTAAACCAAACATGGTGGGACTTCCACACGCGGCCGGCACCAACTCTCCCTCCAACGACCCACCTTGCGTCCAAGACTCATCCTTGTGCCCGAAAACTGGAAGCACTCTCCAAGAGAACACCCAGATTCTCCCAGACAGGTCCAACAAAATTAAAGACGACAAAATTACAATAAAAATTAACAACCACCCAGAGCTTAGAAATTAATAATATGCTTTTTTTAAAAAGACATGTTTTTAACATTGATTTAAAAGTAATGACACTGGTAGCACTTCTTATATTACATGGAAGCTTATTCCAGAGATGTGGCGCACAATACTCAAATGCTCGATCTCCGAGGGTAGCCTTAGCCCGACCTGATGGATAATTGAGGAGGACAGCATCACTGGAACTACGAAGATGGTAACGGTTCCGAGGCCTTACGGAGACAAGCTAAGTTAAGCATTGAGGAGCTAAATCATGTAAGACTTTGTATGTCATCAACAAAATTTTAAATTCAATTCTATATAAAACCGGAAGCCAATGTAAATCAATAAGAAGAGGAGTAATTCGACAAAATGTCGGTGTCTTGTAGACGAGTCGTGCACAAGCATTTGTACCCTTTAGAGCTGATTAATATGAGTACTGGGTAAGCCATAAAACAAACTATTACAGTAATCCAATCTACTTGAGATAAATGCATGAATCAGTGTCTCAGTACATTCCTCGGAGAGATATTTCCGAATGTGCCTAACATTATGCAGATAATAGAATGCGCTACCACAAACCTTATTAATATGAGTTTTCATAGACATATTGGCATCAAACCAGGTACCTAAGTTACCAGCTGTAGCCAAGGGTGAAATGACAGATTCCCCAACATGAATACCATCCAAAGTTACCTTGGATATTTGTTGACGAGTGCCAATAATGATAAATTCTGTTTTATTGTCATTCAAAAATAATCTTTATTAAACATCCACTGTCTGACATCGTGTATGCAAGCCTCCATAACTGACAGGGCAAATTCCTTACTACCACTTTCATCTGGACAAAAAGATAAATACAACTGAGTATCGTCAGCATAGCAATGGATTCTTGGGTGATGAGCATTGACGATGTCAAACAACTGACTAGTGTACAAGATCCTTGAGGAACACCCCATTCAAGATTACGTTTACTAGATAGTTTACCATTGACCAAAACCCTTTGAGATCTACCACCCAAATATGAGTTAAACAAGTTGAGGGCAGTGCCGATAATTTTAAAACGTGACTGGAGTAAACTCAAACGAACATCATGATCTAATGTGTCGAAAGCTGCGCTCAAATCTAATAATACCAGAAGTGTAACGTGTTTGCTGTTCACGGCCATCAACAAATCATTTTGATGTAGTACCTTGAGCAAATTTCATTCCCATATTCAAGCCTGATGGAAGGGGGAAACCACCATTGGCTTGCCTGAAAACTTTTGGCCAGTTAAATTATTTTGACTGGTGGATGTAATGTGGTATTACAAGACAGGAGAGTGATGGGCTGCTTGGCGAAATTTTGAAAGTCAAATTTCTTTTTGGTCCAGCATAGAGTCCGAGTTTCAAAACATGAGTACTATACTGCGTCCCCTCCCCCTTCAAGAGCAAACCCTGTGTGCGAGTTTAGAACCTATAGTTAGCCAACCTAACCCTAATCAACAGAAATGAACCCTATAGTTTGCAGTCGCTAGTCACAAGTGATTATTTCCGGCAGTTGAAGAAGATGGAAATTCACAGACGTTAGCCTAATGGCCAAACTACACAGTTATGCACTATCAGCCCCACCCGAGGTCATAGGCCCATAACCTGGAGGGGAGAGAACCTTTTCCAATTTTTCACGTTTTCGGGGGGGGGGACTAAAGGATGCATGTCAGTATAAATAGGCCGAAAACTGCTTGCACAGGCCAAATTGCAATTATTTGGTATGCACTCAAATTGTCTACAAAATATGGCATTTTGTGGCCCATGAACTTGAAGATTTGTAGAAAAGACAGGTTTAGGCGGGCAAAGAGAATACCAGCTTGCGTCAGAGTGAGATCGGGAAGAAATGGGTGCCTGAAAACGGTCTATTTTTCAAGCAGTGTCGGCATCGATATTTCAAAATGACCAGGGGCGAGAAGACTGCATTTTTAGGGGTGACCTTCCGCGGAAACAAATATCTTCAGAAGTCATCGGTTAATGAATGGAAATTTGACAAGAAAATGAAAAATCAGAAACTGGGCTTTGATTTGTCGTGCGTCTCAAACGCCTGAGAAACCGGTAAGTATTTTTCCTGATTTGTTTGAATTTCGGGTATTT